GTTGGGAAAGTGTGAGGTTGCCATGAGAGACCATGTAATAATTTGCTGCATGGCATGCTAGTGAACAGGACACGTAACAACATATGCAATTGTGTATTTCGGTAGCGTGGATGGTTGCTGTGAATGTGACACGCAGGTTTGTTCCCCTGATGTTGCAGTAATTTTCATTTCATCATTACAGACAGTCATAGGACAGCATGCCAAAATCAAAGGCACAGCAGAGGAGAGAAAGGAAGGTGCTGGCGACAAAACAAAGCACTGTACAATGGAAAATGATACCATCTAACACATGGGGTACAAAGCCGCCCTGATTGCTTCTGCCTAGTGCCCACTGATAAGATGATGAATTGATGGAGGCCCTCCATCGCTCCTCGTGGTCCAGCATTGGAAAACAACTCCAGACTCCTCTGGCAAACACAGATCCATTAAACAAGGCTCTGTTGTTGGAGAAAAACATGGTTGCCTGGAGAGGGAACATTGTTGTGTCCACATATTCCACAGTTGTTCCTCTGTATTTTATACAATTTAATAATTTCTTGCTTTGAAGAGCAAATTTATTTCTTGAAAAACTCAGCCTTTCTGGCATGAGAACATCATATCTTAAACTGTAAAAGAAATATTTGTGTAGGGCCAGTACAGTTACAACCTGCATTTAAAGACCAGTGAATGTGTGCATGGAATGAGACCCAAGGGTATTTAATATTACAGAGTTTTGGAGGGATACTATGTCTGTTTTACTTCCTGGCAACCTTACACACGTAAGAAAAAAATAAAAAATTTAAAGAAAAGGCACCACTTTAAACAACTTGGTTTTTTATGGAACTTTACCAAGCCTTATGCAAGGTTTGGGCAGAGTGCCTTGCCAAAGGATATTTTGTAAAAAATAACAAACAGGTCAGAAGGTGAGTATTTCTGTGGTGTTGCTTTTCAGAGGGTACGAGAAAACGGCTACTTGACTTTGACCTAGACGAGGCTCATCTGAAATGAACATGTTTGAGCAGTTGTCATATTAGTTTGACGTAAACAGAACCCACTTCCACACAATCTGTCTATTGCAATGGAGCAGTCTGGCCTCTGTCATGACCCAGCTTGTGTTTGGCTGGAGGTTAATTCCATCATGTCTTTAAGCCTGGAAAGACTGAAGCAGAGGCTTTGACAGGATAAACAATCTTAATAGCTCTTTTTTTTTTTTAACAAAACAGACCATCACAGTTGGCAATTTTGCCTCATTTTGAAAGTCAGTCATTAGAAAATCTGAAAGAGCTTATTAGGAAGAGAGACTAAGTTAACTTTCAGTTCCAAACAAAGGGAATGGCTTCAACAGGCTTTCACTGGCTGCATGGGGCAATTCAAAATCCAAGAAAACTGTCTCCAGCTTACTCCTGGATCTGGGGAGGTGGGGTGTTGAAGTAATCCTGTGGAGTTTTCCAGCTGCACAAACAAAGCTGACTGGGTAACAAAGGCTTCCAAGAAAGAAGAAGAAAGATGAGGAGAAGGTCTCCAAAACCACAGCATCTTCATGTGTACCTGCTCCAAGATCGCTCCAGAGTCAGTGCTGAGAATGACCAGAAATCTGTAAACCACGACATGACCACACTGATTAAGCCTGCCGCTAGAAGAGACAGTGTGAGGTTGTTCCCATCCAGTACATAAATCATCACAATGCATAACCTAAAGAGAGGTTGCAAAGTGCTACAGATCCCATCCAAAGCCACAGCAGTAACCAGAAATCTTGTATTCAATCTACTTGTCATTGAATCTGAAAGATTTGTAATGTTCCTTTCCGTGGCGCAATGCAGCACAATGAAAAATGCCTGTCAGAGCTCTAAAAACCATTTGCAGCATTATTTCCAACTGGCAGCGTTTTTGGAACAAGGGCTGATCCAAGCTTGAAATGTGACAGAAGAAGAACAGCCTTATCCCCACCCCAGAAAGTGTTAGGAAATCCTGGCATGCTGCTACAAGCATCAGCGCCTGGTCATGGGGGGTCTTATAGTTTGTCCAAGTCCCTCAAGTGGAAAAGGAATGTAAGAAGATACTTTAAAGCTAATGGGTTCTTTCATTGGTTAAAACACCTTCCTAAAATAGTCAAAGAGACACTTTTTTTCTCCACCAAACATTAGCTTATGTAAATGTTTGTATAATACTCCAAACAGCACTGACAGCATCTTCTTGTGACTCAGAAAGGTTGTTTTGTGCACGTGCATTTCTCTACCTGCCAGCATGGAGCAAATGCAAACTATTCTCACTTATGTTTACAAAATGGGTAAAAAGCAGAGGACGCCATATTTATTTCTCTGATCTCAGACACTCCCAGCTCTTGGCTGTGAATCATAAAGCTACATGCTGTCAGCTGTGTGTTGTGACTTGCGCTTCAGCAGCTTGCGAACAGAAGGCGTTTATTTTGCTCCAGCTGCCACACCCAAGGAAAGTGTTTTTCAGGCAATGGTGGGAGCACCAGCTAGAACTCTGAGCATGCAGAACCCAGCTGACTGTCTGCAGAACCCTATTAATATCACAGAGAAAGACGACAAAACAAAGGCAATATATAAACGCATGCATTGTCTCCTATGATCTGGCTCCTATTCTTTTTTAAAAGTTATGTAAGGACCTCTGACTGGTTTCATTTAACCAGGTAAAAGCCAGGGTGCCTCTGGCGGGTTGCTCCTCTGATCTTTCAGTGTTGTTACCCGTCCGATCTGGCTGAATAAAGTGGTGAGTATAGACAACAAAAGAGAAGTCAGTCTCCCAAAGCAAAAGCCTTCGTGCTGTTTCCTATACGCAGACCGCTCTCAGGCCTGAACTGAAACCCGAGCATCCTTCAGGGATCGACACCACCCACCCACCCACCGCCCATCCCCGCCTTCAACCCCCTAGTGACCTGCTCCATTAAAAAAAGTCCCGCAAATCCAGTTCCCACTGCTGAATTACCATTAATTTATTTATCCAGTCATGCACTTATACATCTATTTATTTATTCAGCTCATTTATTTGTCTTCATTTCTCACGCTATCTCAGGCAGTCCCCATCGAGAAGGGTCTGATTACAGCAGTCATCTTTGGAGGAAAACAGGGCCACTGAGCACAGTGAGCTGGGTCAGCAACATACAGACCCTGAACTCATGATGTCATGGGCTGCTGGACTGAGACAGTCTGCCTGTGCTCTAACATAAAAGATTTTAAAGTCCCTCTATATAGACTGGTAAGACTAATACCATGTGTGCTCTATGTCTGTGAAAGGCTGAGTGTGCCGGGAGCTGTGCAGTGTCTGGCCAATAAGTTGGCGCTGTTCGCAGCACCCTGGGGTTACTCTCACCCAGGCCAAGGATGGTGTAGTGTGTGAAGAAGACTGGCAGCAGTCAGACCTGGTGGGGTGATGGGTGTTGTTCTGGTGCAATGAGCCATGTGGTCACATGGACCAAACGCAGACGGCCAGCCGGCTGTATCATGCCCTGTCTTCAGACGGTCCAAGGCATGCTGGGAGAAGCACCTGAGTCCATGAGCGGGCCGTGTACGCCCCAAACAAGCCAAGCTGCTCTCGCACAACACCAGCAGCCCATGAAGCTGCTGACAGGGCTTTCGGCACTTGATAGTCCTTTTAAAATGCTGCTGAGCGTGCTTCCTCTTCACCCCCTACTCCTGATGTTATCACAGTAAGATGTTTGCTAGTCTTAACTCAACAGGCTTTTTGTGTGCATTTGAGAGTTTGGTTTCTCACCCTGAAATCTATGCTGTGGCTTGAGATAATGCCTCTATGAGACAGTTGCGGGGAGTCTTGCTAATGAGCAAAACACCATGCAGACTGAACCAGACCAACCACAGGAGAGAGGATGATGGATGGGGGCTTTTATCTAGGCAATAAACATTAGTTCCTCCACCTTATCATCTTATCTCACTGTGATTTGAGGAGTCTCCCACAACAGGATGCCTCATGACTGGACTGCTGACACCTATGTATCCCTCTCTGCAGAATTTACTCTTTAGGACACAAGGAAACAACGTGCTGTTTGGCCAGTATAGAGTGGTGATAAGGAAATGTAACTACTAGGCCTGCAAAAGATGGTACAGACCTGCAAATGTCCAAAACGATTGTAAATGATATTCCAATATACAATTACAATCCACTTTCCTATAATATGTTAGTGTGTATTCAAATGTATATTATATTTTGCTAATTTCCATGTCTAACAACAATATGCAGTAGTCTTTTAAGACCTTGCTTGTTAAGGCTCTGTGCTGCTTTCCTCTGGGGAGCACATCTCTAGCCCCATGAGATTAACTCCGGTACATGGGGATAATAGGGGCTTTTGTCTTATTAATACATCCTTTCAGTACAATGCCTTCTTTAGAGTGACGGATGAACAAGCCTCAACAACATCGGAGGGGGCAGAGCACAGGGGAGGGGGGCGCAGCAGGCTGTGCAACGGCTCCGCGGACCTGTGTGTGTGCGGAGGCCCCTGTGAGGACGCGCTTGGGGTGCACGCAGCTCATCTCAGCCACCAACAACAGCTATGCAGACAAAGTATGATGCAGAAAACCCCCCACCCCTTCCTGCATGATCGACAGCTGTAGCCCTGTGTGTTAATATGTAACACACAATGTTATTCATTAAAACATGCGCACTGTGTTTAACAAACGCAGCTGTCACACGGAGTCCACACATTCATTGTTCCTACTTGTGGCACATGAAAGTGTATTAGTGGCGTGCTGCTTAATGTGGGCCATCCTACTGTCTGTCATAGGTGTTTGTTAGTCAGTGGCAAACTTCGAGATTTTGAGACTTTCAGTTCATTATTATAGTGTTTGTTGGAGTGGTTTTTGTTTGTTTGTTTGTTTGTTTTTTAATGTAAAGCCCAAGAAATGAACTCATTTGATGTTAAGCTGTGAAGCATTTTACAGTAATGGGAGAGACACAAATCAAGTCAAATCCTTTTGTTAAGATTGCTGCAGCACATGCAGACTGTCACTCTAACACTATGCTTAGAAGGTGCCACTACTTACCCCATGAGAGATTTAGTGGAGAGCAGCGAGAAGACGCTCCGAAAAGTATTTGTCAGCAAATGTCCTCACATGTGGCCACCAGTCCCCACAAATGCCGCGTCAAAGCTCAGCTGCCTTCCCCTCAGCTCCGGGGTCGAGAGGCGACGATGACAATCAAAACTTTGGTGGAGGACTAGTGTCTTGTCTAGCCAGTAGTAAATCCATTCTGCCGGTCTGTGCGCCGCCGCGGAAACCGTACAAAGATCACCCGAAAGCGCGACGACTCCAAGAACGGAGGAGCGATTTAAAAGAAAGAAAAAAAAACACCAGAAAATACTTTTTTTTTCTTCTAAAAACAGAGATCGCACTTTCTCTTTTGTCGCTCTAATCCAACAGTCCGCCTGATTGTCCTTCTGCTCTCTGGGAAACAACAGCTCCACGGGGCTGTTCAGCGTCAGGGCGGCGCGCACACAATACGCAGTCACACACTCACTCTCTCTCTCTCACACACACACACACAAACGCACACCCACACGCGAGAGACAAAGTGTATGGAAACGTCATATGGCCTACCCATAAAGAGTCGCGAGCCTCAGCATCGAAATAGCCATAGAAACGGCAATTAATATGGAAAATACTTTGAAAGCCTATTTCTGGACCTTTTCCCCACTCTGGAGCACACAAATGAAGTCCAGATGTTCCACCTCTTCACTTCCTCTCTCTTTGCAGATCCCAGCATGAACCAGTGAGTCCGCGCTCAACTCATCCTGGCTCAGTTTCCCTTGAGAGCAGTGGCCAGCTGAAAATGCACATCTAAAGGTCTATGACAGTGAAATTAAAAAAAAAAAAAAAAGAGTGTTAAAGTAGCAAAAATAAAATATAGATCTGCTCTCAAACACTATTTTGAAAGTTGTTTGTGATGAGTCATTGTTATGGTTTTCTCAATTCTCCCTCAGGTCTGGGTATAGCTTTAATAAGAAGGGTGAGGTGAAGGTAAGTCAGGGCTTGTTAGTCATTAGGGCTGTGCCTAGACATACAGCAGGGGCAAGTGCTAGCGTCAGAGAAACTGCCTCTGTCTAACCCCAGATGAGGTAATAATGTCTTCACAGTCATTACGCTGAAAGCCAAAGTCATCCCAAGTGGCTATGATGTCATGTGTCTGTGATGAGAAAGAGGAGCTCCGTAATGTTGTTATAGTGTTTATTAGTTATCTTACAAAATATCTAGGAGCTCCAAGGCTTATGTGCTAAATACATTTAGATTTGCTTCTGGAATTGTGAGTTAACATTGAAAGAAAAGGTGCAGATGGAACCAGAAAATGAAAGAGTGTTTAGACAAAACAGAACTGTTGAGGGTGGTGATTCAGTTTAACTTCTCTCTATACATGACCACAGTCCAGGAAGCAGGTGGTACTTCTCCAGACGCACGCATATTGTACTACCTGAGTGAATGACATCAGATTACAGTGCAGCGGGAAAGCACCTCGCTGCTCATCATACAGTCTACCTATAGAAATGAAACATCCCCAGTTAAAATTCATCAGTTCCCGCATGAATCTTGCGTGCGACTGGTCTCTACCAAACAGTTTCAACAACTTTGACTCATGTCTGCTGATGGTTTACTGGGAGAGAAAAGATTGAGATTGTGCAACCGCTTTTACCGCACTCATCCCTGCCGCCCCCGCAGCAGCAGCTAGTATGTGGAAAGAAAAAGGAGAAGAACAACTTGTGAAAAAAATCATCATCTTTGCAATACTTCTGTTAGGATTGCCAAAATCTTTCAACCTGCAATCTCAGGACATGGAGACAACTTTAACGGCTTAACCGCACATCTTCAAAGCTTCTGTTGTTAACTTTCTGTATTCTCCACTGAAGTGCTGGCAGGTTGAATGTGCAGTATCTAATGGATGTGTAGTAGACAGGCTTTATGGACTGACTTCTCACTGTCAGTGAGTTTATGATGGGATCCTTTCAGGGGCCACACCACTCAAGCTGCCCCACTGCTGTGGCTCTCACTAAGCTTTTAGGGGAGGGGTCAAGAGCCCTGACCTCACTTCCTGTTGGGGCTCCTCACAAGCATTCCATTGTCTGTGAGAATGTGCACAGGCTCAGGGGACTCTGCACATCTGGCAGCTGTTATTAGCAGCCTCCTGTACCAGCCCCCCCACCCCCTGAGGAAGATTATTACATGTGTTGGTGGATGTGCACCTCAAAATAAACTCTCTGGGATAGTATTGTTTCATGAGCCACTGCTGTGTTGCCACAACTTGAATGGAAAGCCGGGCTTTAGTGATTTGCATTTTTATCTTCCAGCCAGTCTTTTTTACAATGACATCTTAGAGGTCAGTCTACAGTAATATGGAACAGTGTTACAGCTATTATTAGACGTTTTTGGAAATATGTTCATTTGCTTTCTTGCTGAGTGTTAGATAAGATGATAGATACCGCTCTAGTCTGTCAGCCAGCAGCTGCCAACTTAGCCCAAAGACTGAAAATAGGGGGGAAAAGCTAGCTTGGCTTTGTGCTAAACTAACAAGATCTGCCTGCCAGAACCTCTAATGCTTGCTAATTAACACATTACATCTGCTTTGTTTATTCCGCACAGAAAGTGTTAAAACAAAATTTTCAAGGGGTTATGTTCCGAACTTTTTCTTAGCTGAGTCTAGTAACTTCCTGGAGTCTTCAGTGCCTGGCAACTGCTCACGACCAAGAAATAGTCCCCATGTACTATAAAACCATGAATTTTTGTTTTTACACTAATTTTTTTTGCAGATATTTAAAAGAAAGACATAACTTTTTAATTAACAAGCTTTAGAGGTTCTAGTATGCAGATTATTTTTAGCGCTGGACAGAGAACACTGTTTCTAACCTTTGTTCTAAGCTTGCGGCTGCTGGCACCAGCGTCATATTCAATCAAACATGACAGTGGCATCAATCTTCTCATCTAACTCTCATCTAACAAAGCGAAGAAGCACATTTTCGGAAATATTGAACCTTTACACCACACATACCACAAAACTGCCTCATTTACTAGAAGCATTCAGACAGACTATGCTGACCTATGTGTGAACTATGTGTGAACTATCAAAAGTGGGACAGTAAGCAGGTTTTAAGTCACATACTGAGATGAGTGCCGTGACAGAAAGTAGGTAATGCATCAGACCCACAATGATAAGACATGGCATTAGTTGTGTTACTCATCCCTGTAGACGTTTTTTCAAAGTACTTAAAACCCAAAAAAGGCAAAGTGGCTAAATATTCTTCATTCCTACTTTTAGACACAGGAGTACACTGGGGATGTCATTAACAGTAAACTGTTCTCAGGATCTGTGTCGTGAGACGGGGACTTTCCAACCGTTTTTTTATCCACATTTCTATGGTACTGTACGTAAAGTTGAACCACCATTGCCATTGTGCAAACATAACAAAAGAACAACCACTATGGGTCCCAACATGCCATTGTGTGCTCACTGTTTTCATGTAATGAGTAATTGGTTTGTTTCTTATGTGCACCCATCCATACTTACAAAAATCTGAAGATAACAGCAACTGTTTTTGATTTCAAACAGAAAATGCAAATAGAAAGTGTTAAGGGAAAGATCCCCCATCACTTCCTCATCAAAATAAAAAACAGCTCCCAGACATGAAAAAGTCTCTGCGGAAATGTTCCTCTTTTTCGCAGCAATGCTTGCTAAGATGTGTATTTTTAGCACTGTAAACGTTCATCAGATCATGTGCATCAGAGTCGTTAAAGTCCGTTAGAACTAATGTGATCCAGCTCAAGATTAATATAATTTATTAAAACTAAACTAAAAACTAAAACTAGGTGGGGGGGGGGGAAACACATTTTAAATTAAACTAAAGTAAAAATAAAAACTAAACTCTAACTGAAATTATATTGTGTACCTACAACACTAACTAAAATAAAATAAAAATATACAGGTAATATGTTCAGTTTTAGACCTAGACTTAGACTTAGACTTATTGATCCCTCTGGGATGACTCCCTCAAGGAAATTCAATTTCAATTTCAACACAACAAGCATGAGGAGGGATTGGGGCATGTTCATTCAGTACAGGATGTCTATGTGGCTGTGAGTCAATCGCCTTCACAAAGCGCTGTGTTTGTATGACTATCCTGGACTTTTTAATCTTTCCTCTAACAAATCCCGCATATTAACGTAATTAAAACTAATACTGAAACTGATAAAAACGAAACAAATAATTTTTAAACAATAAAAACTGAACTGAAACGAGTAAACTTCAACTAACTGAAACTAAATAGAATTTTTTTTTTAAGTCTAAATGAAATCAAAATAAAAACTAATAAAAAATACAAAACTACAATAACTGATGTGGATGAGATGTTTCTCACAGGGCTGGTACATCAAAGCAGAAGGAAATGAGCACGGTTTGCATCTGAGCTGGTGTCATCACTATTCTGTGCAACGTGACAAGATGCGTGCTGGTGACAGTTTTAATTTGCACCTTAAATTGAACTGAGTAACGGTTGCAAGATATAATGGCTTTGCATGCTCTCCTGTATTTGCATATACATAAGCATTTAAAAATACATCTTTTGTTCATAAGCGAGACCTGCTATGGAAATTACTATGGTAAAATCATGTGTACAGTATAGGGCAAAGTGCATGCAGTTAATTGACACAGACAGCGCTTATGGCAGTAGAGGTTTGGTTTCCCCTCTCAACACCTAACAGCCCAAGTGCTGCCTGGAGTCAGGGTGGCTTATCTCACTCCGTGCATTGCAAACAGTGGGCTTAAGTGCTGGCTGTGCCACATGTCTCTGGTGTTCACAGGTTTAGAAGAAATCCGTCCACCCTGCATTCACTCCTACGAGATCTGCAGTGTAATCTTACCGCTTATCTCTTGAGCATCTAGCAGCTTGTTTTGTTCTTTTTACATTTGATCTGTTCATTGTACAGGGAAATAGTCTGAATCACTGTCCACATTCAGGTCACTTTATATACTCACACAAAAGAAATATAGTGTGTCAGTGATAGTAGCCCACATATTTGTGATTATTTGATCCTTTAAAAAACATTTAACTTCCATTGTTTGGGTCTTTCTGACAGTAACTAACTAAACTCTAACATGTATTTATATTTTTCCTCACAGAATTTTACTCAATGACTCTTTAGTGCTTTTACAGTTTTTCTACGCTCCACCCCTCTTCTGAGGCGTCTCTCACAGGAGTATAGTGTTACTTTATTTTTACAGTCAGGCCTGAAAAGATTGTTCCCATGGTCCACTTCTGGACCGGTCTGTGTACTGGTTACCATGCTTGAGTATTAGTATTGGGTGTCTGTTGTGTTCACTGTCCTCTGGTCGACTAGAGTGTTAGTGGATAGTAAAGTGAGAGGGCCCCACATGGTTGGGGGGTGCGGGGGATCCTGACTTTTGTGGCTTCCTGCAGATTAAGGCAGTATTTATAGAGCCTTGCTGAAGTACCCTTGGCAAAACAAATCCAAATCCACACATTCATTATTAGAGTCCTCTCTATTAACATTATAACTTGAGAGTGCCGGTTTTTTATGGTGTAGCAGGAGCAAACAGTAATTTTACAGTTGGAGAGGTGTCTTTTCTGAGGTACAGGAACAGCATGAAGCCCTCAGTTTAGCATTTAGCAGAGCCACAGATAGAACCCCTGTCATTTAATCTTTAGAGTCATCACAAAGGGCACAGCTAAAAATCTGCTGTTTTGACCTGAAACCATATGGCAGCCATCAGTGGCTCGTCTAGCACTGGTAAAGAAACCCAACCCTGACATTTCTTGCTAATTCACTGACCAGAAAGTAAGTTCAAAATGTTAGTCATAGGTACATGTATGCATGTGCATCTGTGTGTTACTGTTAGTGCAAGACCAGGAAGTGGTAAAAATAAGCAAATGATCAAGAATCAGTCATGTTTCTAAGATTACATTTTCTGTGTGCTTCACACTGACAGAGAACGCGCTG